CTGAAAGAAATTGAAGAAGACACAAAGAAATGGAAAGATATTCCGTGCTCTTGGACTGGAAGAATTAACATAGTTAAGATGTCCATACTTCCTAAAGCCATCTATAGATTCAGTGCAATCCCTATCAAAGGACTCAGTATTTTTTAAAGCGCCCAAGTGATGCTGATACAGCCAGGACTGTGAACCACTGCTCTAAGTCCACTAGCTACAGCTTCCCCGCCCCGAGAGAGATCACATGCACACAGCCAAGGCAGGAGACGTCTTAGTGAGGATTTAAATATGAAACAAGAAGCAGATGCAAGAAAACGTTGATTTGTAAGATCGTTGCCAACAGAGAAATTCTATGATTATGTGTCCCCACATTGTCCTTCTAGAATTCTAAAACTTATAAGATTTGGTGCTATACCACCCAGCAGATCCAGTTCTAATTCAACTTTGGAGAAATCTTTGTCAGTTTATTTCTTTGGCATGGAGTTCCCAAAAAAAGAGTGGGGTAAAATATGCTAGTAGCTTATAATATTAAAATTATTTTCAGAACAAGAAACACAGCTCTACTTTACAGAAAAGAGTAGCAAAAAGAGGGAATAATTCAAGAGGCCAACCTAATATTTTTAAAAGTATACCTGGAAAACTGTTACTGAGCCACCCAAAGACCAAGCCTCCCGCCCACTCCACTTCTGTAAACTGAAGCTGAAGATACAAAGCGATCCTAACACCCCTCTCCCCTGACCTGCTGTTGACACGGTGGGGTGGGCTCTGTGTAGTCAGGAACTGCGGCCACAGGCAGCAGGCAGAGCCAAGGCAACGACTGCTACCCTGCAAAGCGTGAGGGAGGCTTCTCGAGAAGGGATGGGAGGAAATACAGGCTGTCCTGGCTTCCCCAGCAGGCTCCAGGAGGCCAGCCTCCAGCCCACCGCCCCATGCATCTCCCCTTCCCAAGGAGAAGCCCACGAACACAGTTCCCCCAGCTGCGGCAACTGCTACTGCTAACAGCGCTTCTCCTCGACCCTGCAGAATCACAGCTCCTCAGCCTTCAGGGAGCTGGAACTACTACAATTCCATCTCTTCCCAAAACTACTCCTTGTAGCTTTGGCACCGATTTTAAAGGGTTTCCCAGGGTGGGATACAGGAAAAACTATTAAGTCAAATAAATTAAAAAAACTGAAGACTGAACTCGGTGCCCTTAGACTTGGTGTTCTATAGGGTATGCAATGAGCCAACCGGACAATCACTTTCACCTCTGTGCGCTGCTTTCCAGAAATGAGAGTTGATTTAGGTAGTCTCCCTACCTAAGGGCCGTGAGAGACCCAACGGCCCAGCCACATAAAACTTCCGACCATTTCTCCCCACGCTTCTCCCATCTTATGCCCTGGCTCATACTGTCTACTCTGCCAGGCATGCTCTCTCCCACATCCCTTTCTGAAGCACTTCTCCCCTTCTTTGAAAGCCCTGCTCAAACCTCACTGCCTCCAAGCTGTTCTCCCAAATCCCTCGCCCGCTCCTTGATGTACACCTCTGTCATAACACGGCATCCCTGACCTCTGCCCTTTTTAGATAGCCTTGCACCTGTCTCCAACAAGAACTCAGGCCATGGTGGACAATGGTCACGTTTCATAGATCCTCGTTCACGCCTTTCAGTATCTCATACAAAGAAGACCTTCAGGAAATGTTTGTTAGAACTAAATTCAAGCCGAACTCAGAGCAGGTGCTCTGCTGGTCTGACCCTGGTTTGCTACAGATGCAATATGGTGCTCTTTCTTCCTCCTTCCGTGTCTTCTTTTGAATGTTAACTCTTTAAAAAGAATTTTATTATTTTCCTTGCTATATCTGATTTTGGGGTTTTTTTATATGGAATATAATTCACATAACGTAAAGTTCACCCTTTTAAAGTGTATAATTCAGTAGTTTTTAGTATACTCACAAAGTTGTGCAATCATCACCACTATCTAATTCCAGAACGTTTTCATCACCCCAAGAAGAAACCCCATACTCACTAGCAGTCGCTCCCCCCGCTACTCCACCACCCTCCCCACCCCCACAACCACAAATCTACTTTCTGTCTCTGATACACATGATTTTAACAAAGCTTACAGTACTCCTAACCGTGGTTTTATTATACATCAAAGCCAAATTCTATCCTCCAGAAGAAACAGTTTCTCTTTTTTTACCATAACTCAATAGGAAAATATGATTTAACACAACAACTTACTGAGGTATAATTACACGATACAAAACAAAAACTCTTACCAGGAAAATCATCTCACACATTTACTTTCTCATTTGTTTTTGTTTTGTTAAGCTTTTTATTGAAGTATAACATACATATAGAAAAGTACACATATCATAAGGGTATACCTTGATAAGTTTTCAAAAACTGAACACAAGTCTAGCCAGCACCCAGATCAAGAAACAGAAGCCCCCAGACCCCTCTTCTAGTCACCCCTCCTTCTAAAGAGCAACCACTGTCTTGACTTCCAACAGCATACGTTACTTTTGCCTGTTTCTGTACTTTCATAAATAGAAGCACAGAGTGTACAGTATAGGAAACTTTTACATTGAAAACTCTAGACCTTGTAATACTTACCATAATCTTCTTGTACAAAACCATGACATTATCATCATCAAATGGTAGAAAGCCACACATAAGTACATATAAGAGTATGCCCATGCTCCAAACATCTGCCTGAGAGGGAGAAAAAAATAATTCAAAAAAATTTAGAACATATTTCAGAATGGCAATACATGTAACAGAATCACAGAATCTTCACAGAGCTGGAAAAGAGCTCAGAGATCATCCAGTTCAACCTGCTCATTCTACAGACAGGGAACCCAAAGCCCAGAAAGGAAGGCTGGCCCAAAGTCACCCAGTCAATGGCAGGCCACCCAGGTCACCTCCTGACTCGAGTTCCTGCACTCTCCTCTAACGCTGGACTCTAAGGCTTAATAGACAATAATTTCCTGAATTTAATCACAAGGAAGCATCAGACAAATTCAAATTGAGAAACTTTCTACAAAATAACTGGCTTCCTCAAAAATGTCAATGTCAAGGAAGATAAAGACAGCCTAAGGAACTCTTCCAGATTAAAGAAGACAAGAAACACGATAACTTAATGCAATGCATGATCCTGAACTGAATCCTAGACTGGAGGGAAAATATAGCCACAAAGGACATTATTGGTACAATTAGCACTATTTGAATATGAATTGTGGATTAGATAAATTGTATGAACGTTAAATTCCCTGATTTTGATAACTAAAGTGTGGTTATAAAAAAGAAGGTCCTTGTTTTTAGGAAATATATACATAGTATTTAATGACAAAGGACTATGATGTCTCCAACTTACTCTCAATTGGTTCAAAAAAATTAATATGGTCATATATATGAACATAGAGAAGGATAAAGCAAACAGGGATAAACATAAACAATTGTGAATTTGACTAAACATATACAGAAGGTCCTCACTCCATATTTGCAACAATTCTGTAAGTTTGAGATTACATCCAAATAAAAAGTCAACAAAAACAAGTTAGTTCCCATCTTCTCACGTTACAAATTAAATAAACTGGCATATCTCAAAGTTTCTCTCACGTAACACTAGTTCCAAAAGATGCTCCATATAAAAGTCGGTTCCGTAGACAAGTAACTCGAGACCAGCTGCTATCTGTGATGTTCCCGCCCAAAGGATCACATTGTATAAGAACATATTAAAGATTTGGACATGTCCTGAACTAAAGGAAACTGTTCAACCAGCATTTCCCGAGCTTTCAACGACTAAACCTTTTTTACCTTATGATGCCAATATCAGCACAATTAGTGCTCCAGAGAACGGAAGGGGCTGACTGGCTTGCGGTAGCTAGTGGTAAAGCAGGCAATGCCCGGGCCTGCTGAGCCTGGGCCTCCTACACCGGACTGCTGGCCCTGGAGAGTTGGCTGTGGACAAAACGCAGGTTTTCTCGGTGCTAACCGGCATCTCTGAAAACTGAGCCTGCAACCCTGGCCTTGTGCTCTACCGGGCTGGACGAACAGTCTAAACTATGGCACTGTTCAACACCAGAGCAACCACAACAAGGACCCCGGAAATATATCCTTGCTTCATGAGTGGGCTATGCATTATATTTATTACAAGTTATTCATTTCATGTGTTACTTTACATACCTCACTCTGAACAGACTGAACTCTTCAACAAGATTATTTCTTACCTCATC